TGCACAAGACTAATGTTGGATATGTTTGAAAAACATTTTTTTGGAGGTTTCAGTTCCAATATATTCCTCTTTCTATCTCAATATAACGTACAAGGAATTTCAATATCACAAATGATGAACACAGAGATTTTTCTCATTATCAAGATCATAGTTTTAGTATCACAAATTCGAATTTCAATACCACATATTGCAATTTTCAACATCTCAAATCAATATTGGAGCTCAAAAATTTCAATATCACAATCCATGGCTTCAATATCACAAAGAGCAATTTCAATGCCATATATCGTAATTTCTCAATAATAATGACACAGCTACAATTCTAGACATATTTCCAATATCAATATCACAATATCAGTATCAATGTCACGTTATCATATGTATATCAATGTCACATTATAAATATCGATAGCAATGTATCATTTTCTATCAGTGTCACAAATTGGCACCAATACCCAAATAATCAAATATTGCGATCAATTCCCCCCTCCCCGCCCAACTGCTCCCCAACCCTCATGACAATGATGTGGAGTAATTAGAACACACGCAACTGTAGGACCAACTAGTATATATTGAGATGTTACAAACCGTGCCAAACAAAACTGTGCAGTAGTATTCTTTACAAATGGTGTGCCTTATTAGTGAAAGATAGAGAGTACTGTCATACAAACAATCTGCTCCACAAACATGAGAACAGAATTGCTGACAGCCCTACATGCTAACAAGTTTTCAAACACCTTGTTTCTTCATGCATGCATATACTATATTATCTTAGCGGAATTGTTGAACGATAGCATGCACTGAAGGTCACAAATGTAGCGAGTCTCTGAATTTTTTTCCACAAAATCTTTCGCACTATTACACATTTAGTATTAAGAGCAAGTACGCCATAATTAAACCTAGCAAAGTCTAACTTTCCTTTACGAAATTTACAAAAGAGACCAAGCAAGGCATGGCCTATTATATGCCAGTATCTTTGATAAATTTGTAAGGGGAAACCATCTGGACCAGGGTCCTTATTGTGTTTCATATCAAAAACAGCAACCTTAATTTCTTCTAGAGTAAATTCTCTATCTAATGTTTCTCTATCTATGTCATTCGAAATAGCAGGCATATCCATATCCACAGATATTCTTTTGAACTTAATATTCAGGTATAAATTACTCACACCCTCAGTAGGGCCACACAATTTTTTCTAAAAAGAAGGGGCATACAACAGTAAATCTCTATCTCCTTCTATCACTTCATTAGTAGCAGTATTAGGACAAATAGTTATATTTATTTTAAATTTCTTCTACGAGCTCTAGGCAAAAAATAAGTTGTGAGAGCATCTCCCTCTAGCAGTTCTTTCTCCTTCAATCCCTACAATTATTTAATCTGTTCCTCCTTGCGAAGTTCTTCTAATTTCTCCTCTAATCCTTTCCTCATGAGATACATATCTTCTATTAAACTTACCATCTCACATTCTCTATCAGTACCATCTATAGCTTGTGTAAAAAAGACTTTTTATTTTTTATACATCCAAACAGAATTTAAATTCCATCCTTCATGTATTTTTCCCAAGCTCTCTGGCTCTTCTCTACCACTGGTCTCGTAAGTTTTTGCCAAAATAAACATTACATAAAACATTAACAACTACCACATCCAAATCATCTCTTAAAAACCAACAAAGTTCAAATTTGAAAGGTCTAGTGATCTTAGAGGTAAATTTAAGCCAAAGTTTAATAGCAGGGAAGCATGATCTGAAAGTACTCTAGTTAATGCTCTAAGAAACATCTAGGGAAATAAAAGTTCATAAGATAAAGACATCAAAATTGTGTCCAGTTTCTCAAGAACTGGATTTTCCTGATTATTCGACCATGTAAAACATCTACGAGCTAGCTCTACTTCTTTCAGCTCACAGCTTTCTATAATTGCATTAAATAAACGAGACCATTTATTAAGAGGTTTATTTCTACTGGACTCTCCTCTCTACTTGATAATGTTAAAATCTCCTCCAACAATAATAGGAAAATCGGCAAAGCAACAAATATGTACTAACTCAACTAGGAAATATTATTTATCTTTACTTTGAGGCGCTCCATACACATTCACTACGTGCCTCTTTTCACCAATGATTTTATCCTGAACTAGTAGGAATCTAATATGATGAGAACCTTTTTCAGATTATAGCACATTATAAAAATCATTATTAACGCCTAGCAGCAACCCTCCTGACTGTCCAACAGCAGGTACCGCCGTCACTCTTTGTCGCCTGAATTGTAATATTTGATTATTGAGCAATATAGGTTTACCTGAAAAGAAATCAAAATCAGAAAAAAAAGGACAAATCCGCCATAAATATGTTGGTTTCGATTTGTTTATACCTAAATATTTCTAATTTGGAACTGTATACATTTGATGGAGTATAAACACATGTGTTGTGAGTTTCACAAACTTCTTATTTCTCAATAACATTAAATTATGTTTTTCATGCAGTAATATGGAGAGTGGTATTTTCTCCGGCTAGAAACAGGTGATGTCGAAGTGTCCGCGTGGGGCAGAAAGAGCGTGACGAGACAGGACGCGCGGGACCTTCCTTTTTAATTATGGCCACAATCAACGTGGTGCCTAACGAAGTGTGGGGTCCCGTTGCCCATACGCTGAATGGGCGGTGTACTCGTGGTTCGTGGATGTCGCTGCTCGGTGTACTCCACACAACGGTCGCTGAAAGAACCATTATCGCATGCAAAACACGTTTCCTGACTGCCGCGATCGAGGGGATAATGAAGAAGTTCTTGAGCGCGCGGTGGTCGTGAGAGGATAAGGACGCACGCGTGAGACGGACACAGGCCGTACCATCTGCTTCAATCCAGCAGAGCGCGCGCGGCCGGATTGCATTGCATGGTCCGATCGAGGAGCGCACGCGATCTACGTGTTTTCCTGTGCCGTATAGGGTATGTCGGCGCGCGAGACCACCACGGTGCCCATGCCGATCCATGTGCATGCACAGTGTCTCTCATTGGCCTGACCTGCCTGTTTAGATGTATGGGTCCAAAAAGACCAATCATGGTGGCGCCGTGCCGGATCATGAAAGGCCGGGCAAATCACACAACACAGGCGTGTTTCCTTTTCTGTCCAAGTAAGAGACACCGGGTCTACTTATTCAGACACTTCATACACTTGTCCGTGGGTCTACTTTTTTTTTAGGGGTATATATCCGTGAGTCTACTTCAGACAGTTGTGGTGCTACAGGACCCCCACGTGTTATTGCCGACCTGTACATGTCTCTACCTCTCGTTTGTCTTAGTGGGCCTGCCGTTTGGGCCAGACGTCTACCAGTTTTTTGGTTATCGCTGACCATGAGACCTTGCCAGGGAAGAAGGCTCCGCCTAGTATGGACGGCCGGCCGCCATCGGAAATGTCAAGATCAATGTGGATGGAGGGATCGATAAGAAGAGGAGCCGTCAGTCATGTTTGTCTGTCGATATGCAACGGGACTCTACCCTGGAGCTTCAGCGCTTGTTTTTGAGGGATTTACTGATCCGTAAACTTTCAAAGCCATTGGTTGGAGCGCGGCCTTGTCCCTTGCCTTTGATCCTAATACTCCCTCCTTCCCAAAATATAAGGCGCGATTGACTTTTTACGGTCTTTGATGCACGATTTTGATCACTAATATATATCAAAGTATTGGATTGAACATGTATTAATGGTATCGTTGTAATTAGGCTTAGCCAACGTGAATCTTGCTTGCTTACATATAGGTTTAGGGCCTCTTTGATTGGCAGGATTTTGAAAATGCAGGAATAGGAAAAGTTCAGGATCAAAGTGGCATTGCCCATTTGAATCCTATAAGATCATCAAGGAGTGTTTGATGCCATAGGAAAAACAAAGGAATTGTAAAAAGTGGTTGGAATGGATGTTAGGTTTCCTATGAGATATAGTGTACAATATTCCATAGGAAAAATTTCTATGGGATCCAATCCTGTGAATCAAAGGACCAACGTAGGAAAAATTCCAAAGGATTTCAATTCTCCAAAAAATCCTAAGAATTCCTTTGAATCAACCCATCCCGATGCAGCGACACATGGTCGGCCGTAATAGGGCTCAGCCAACGTGAGATCATGCCATGGGTCCATATTGCAATCTCAGCCATTTATATATCTACACTGCAATGGTGAATCTCAGTCGTTGGTTTTATGTTGTCCTAATAATACTGACTAATTTCCTATGTGTTGCAAGGGGGGCATATTTATGGTTGAGCATCAATCGTGTCTGATATACAGTTAGAATGATTTGATTGAGTTAATGTAATTATAGCGCATCCACCAACGGGGGCACTACAAAAGATTTTATTTGATTATTTTTTTGCGGATCAGATTTGATTTGATTATTATTTTGTGGGTAAGATTTAATTTGATTATTTTTTGTGGATAAGATTTGATATGATTTGGTTGAGTTAATGCAGGGCGTGAGGGAGGAGAAGCTTCACTAACGAACGTGATCACCAACTTCCATTTAATAGTAGAGATATAGGTTTAGGACTCCAATAATACTACACTCACTAGCTTCTTACATAATATTCTTTGCTAAACTCTCCACAGCCCCTGAATTTCAGCGGTGTGGGCCCCTCACTCTAATCTCTTCCAATAAGATTAGCCTAGCTATAAGCATCCCTGTAAAATCCATAATTATAAGCCCGTTCATGTTGCATCGCTCTTAGGACTCCCTTCACGATCCGGCCATGCATGGCTGGCCGAAATCAAGCTTAGCCAACATGAGTCCCACTTGCTTACGTGTAGGTTTAGGACAGCCATCCCGATCCTATCCAGCCATGCACGGCCCACCGAAATCGGGGTCAGCCAACGTGAGACATGCAACTACTCAATTAGTCTATATAAACGACGCTCTGTTCTCTGGCACTTACACACTTTAGCTGCAGAAAATACTACTAGTTGTAGCGCAACAAAAGTTGTGGCCCACGGAATTGATCGGAAATCCATCTCTGATCACTCCAACTGATCGAAGGTACGTAATATTGTCTCGCAATTCACCGTCCATAATTTCCATATACTTTTCCCATTTGTACTATGCATGAGCTACCTGAGAAAGTCCATGAGCTTTAATGTTGCCTCGCATGTCACAACAGTGTGCAAATGAATCGATGCAAAGGCCACGGGCATTTCCTCCTTTTCGAAAAGTAAAACCGTGTGCAAAATTGCAAATCATACCTAGCTCCTCGGTCCTCACAAAACCACAGATCTCCATATAGTAGTACTACGCGATTCTAGTGCAGCCTTATCACCAAGTACACAACAGTGCTTATCACTGAACAAAGATAGAACAAAAAAAAAGTATTCTCATTTTACCAATTTAGGACATTTTTTTAGGAAAAATTTAGGGCATGTCCCTCTTTTTTGCGGTATATTGAATTGGACATCTAAAATGGAGTAAGACTACATTTCAGATTCTTTTGTTTGGCAGGCAGGTGCACCTATGGAAAACTTCTGTGTGCAAAAGTTGGCCGGCGCCCTCGGGACGCCCGACGTGCCCACCCGGTACGTCGTGCGCGGGCACCAGAAGCAGCAGCTCGCCTCGACGGTCGTAGCGCCGGTCCCTGTTATCAACCTTGGCCTCCTTTCCAAGCAGGACGGCGGCGCTGCTGATGAGGCAGCGAAGCTCCGGTCAGCTATCGATTCCTGGGGCCTCTTCCTGGTATGTAACAACCCTTTCGGCTACAGTCGGTTCCCGTTAGCACTCCAGCATTTTCGAGAATGAACAAGCAAGGATATCGATGTCGCTTTCATATGAATGTTCCTGCAGATCAGTAACCACGGCGTAGACGCGGCCGTGATGGACGGCATGATGGCCGCGTGCCGGGAGTTTTTCCGGCAGCCGCTTGAAGAGAAGCAGAGGTGCAGCAGCCTGATCGGAGATGATCAGTACGAGGGGTACGGGAACTACGAGGGGTATGGGAACGACCAGGTGTCCTCGCCGGACCAGACCCTGGACTGGACTGACCGTTTATACCTCAAGGTGGAGCCCGAGGACGAGCGGCGCATTGCCCTCTGGCCAGCGCATCCCGAAAGCTTCAGGTGACCGGCCTCACACTGCCATGTCTTCACAATCTAATTACCTCGATCGAGGGAGGATTTGCTGAAGGATCACACGTGCATATATTGTTGTATATTGTAGGGATGTTCTGCACGAGTTCACGATGAAATGTGGGGTAGTGAAGGATGATCTGCTCCGGGCAATGGCGAAGCTGCTGGAGCTTGACGACAACGACTACTTCGTGAACCAGCTTGCGGAGAAGCCTTTCACTAACGCTAGATGCAGCTACTACCCGGTGTGTCCGAGGCCGGAGCTCGTGTTCGGCCTCACACCCCACTCTGATGGAACCGTTGTTGCCATCCTCATGGTTGATGACAGCGTTGGTGGCCTGCAAGTTCTCAGAGATGGGGTCTGGTGGGATGTACCGATCGTACCTCACACGCTGCTGATGATTATGGGAGATCAAATGGAGGTACGCCTGCAGAAACATAATTATATCGTGTGTAGTATTGTTCGTAACAAATTTAATACTAATTTCTTTTCAACTTGCCAATGTAAATAGTTTTCGGTATAGTGAATCTAGCCTCCACATATATTTAGGAAAAGAGGTTGTACGTATAAACTGCTGCCTAGTCTTACCCGGTAAAGACATCATCATTTGCGTTGTTCAAATTTTTTTTATAGCCTAACAAAATTATAAATCTTTTCTACCATTTTCATATAAAACACAATAGTCAAAGGTACATGCCCGGGACCATGAAATGTGAATTGTTTAAGATTATGAGCTTTCGCCATCAATTTTTTAAGCTTTTAGACTGACGGACTTAAAACTTTTGTGACACAGATAATGAGCAATGGGATCTTTAAGAGCCCCGTGCATAGGGTCATGACAAACGCAAAGAAAGAGAGGATATCGGTGGTTCTAGACTATTCTGTTGATCCTGAGAAAGAAATCGAGCCATCGGCTCAACTGGTCAATGAGAAGAGACCAGCCTTATACAGAAAAGTGAAGGTCAAGGACTACATTGTGGCACATTACACTCATTTTTCTCAAGGGAAAGAAGTCGTTATGGAAAAACTAAAGATATAACTACGTGTGGTACAATGAATTTCTTGCGACAGATATTTGTATCATGGTACATTACAAGGCAAGTGTGTATTTAATCCCATTGTTCAACAACACATGCTAATAAAAGGAAATAAAGTTGTAATGTCGTTAATGTATTTTTAATAAAATTAGCATTGGCCCTCACATATGCGAGTGCAACATCTTTCATGTGCAAATTTTTTTGTAAAATATATGAGGCTTTATGCTTGTATATTCACACTAGTTAAAAACCACTTATAGATGTAGATAAATAGTGGCGCCGGCTTCAAAACGGAGTAAGGCAGAAAACAAAGGCGTCTATACTATAGAGGCACTGGTGGCGTTGGCTATGGCATGGACGCCCCTGGTTTTTTGCAGAATATCATATGCATTCCCTGCTTCCGCGGCACCGGCAGCATCTAGTTCGGCCACGATGCCACAAATGACCCACAAGATATCAGTGAATTTTGTTCCATTGCCGATCGCCTCTGTTTTCATGCTCATCAAATTAGGGAAATAATCTCATAATTCTTAAATCTGTCACTGTAAAATTTGAAATTTCACACATGTGCACGTATGAAAAGAAGTTAAAATTGATTATATAGACGTATATATAACTTAGATCATTACATCGATTGGCCGGCAAAATATCTCACGTGCTGCCAATTTAAGCTCAAGCTACGGGTTCAGCTTCGATCATCATTGTAGCTCCAAAATGTATCCTAGCTAGCAGTATGGCCAGTCCTACAATATGGCTAGATCGAGGCCCTCTAGAGCGCAGAAGGACACCGCAGCAGGCCCGCCACACGCGCCGTTCCTCGTTGTCTTGCTCCTCGCTCGGCCAGTCACGTGGCCAGTGTGTGCGCACCTGGAGCACGGGTCCGGATGCATCGACTATGGAGGCCGCAATAGCACACTAGTAGAAAAAGGATCAAATATGAATAACATTAGTACCGGTTGCATATGAGCCGGCACTAATGCGTCCATTAGTGCCGGTTCAAATGACTAGGCGGGAGGAGACCTTTAAAACCGGTTTTGCGAATCTTTAGTACCGGTTCGTGCCACGAACCGGTACTAAAGATGTTGGCCGGGCACCAGCATTTTTAGTACCGGTTCGTGCCACGAACCGGTACTGAAGACGTTGTGGCAGGGGCTATTTTTAGTCCCACCTCGTTCCCTTAGCAAGAATTTGATCACCTTAAATATGTTACTTCTCAAACTATCACAAGCATTTGGTCTTCATTGAACTCTATGTGTAGGATCCGAGGGTGCAATAGGAGTCTTCGCCGGTTCTTAAATCGATGGTAGATTCCTATTGACAATTTAGATTCTATACAAAAAAATCATCGATGATCAATATATTTTTTATGTACTTCTCTGTAGCAGTAGCGCGTTTTGGCTGAAAGGCGGTACTGATCAATGTATTTTTTTTCTGTGTTACTTCTCAAACTATATAAAAACGAAGAAGAGGAAGAAGAAGAAGAAGAAGAAGAAGAAGAAGAGAGGAAGAAGAAGAAGAGGAAAGAAGAAGAAGAAGAAGAAGAAGAAGAAGAGAATAAGAAGAACAACAAGAAGAAGAGGAATAAGAGGAAGAAGGAGAAGAAGAAGAAGAAGAAGAAGAAGAAGAAGAGGAAGAGAAATGACCGTGAAACAGTAAATCACAGCAAAACAAACTCTGAAAAAGCTGAAAAGAAAAAACTATATAAAAAAACTACTCAAAAATAAATAGAAGAAAATAAATAATGCAGGAAAAAAAATTATATAAAGCAAAAATATTCACAAAGAAACTAAATACAGCAAAAAAACTACTCAGAAATAAATAGAAGAAAAAGATAAAGGAGAAAAGAAAACACTATATAAAAAAATTACTCAAAAATAAATAGAAGAAAAAAATAATGCAGAAAAGAAAAAAATTATATAAAGCAAAAATATTCACAAAGAAACTAAATACAGCAAAAAAACTACTCAGAAAAAATAGAAGAAAAAAATAAAGCAGAAAAGAAAAAACTATATAAAAAATTACTCAAAATGAAATAGAAGAAAATAAATAATGCAGGAAAAAAATTATATAAAAAATGTTGGGGCGCTGTCCGGTGTGCCTGCCAGACGTAGGGTGTGCAAATACAGGCCCAGAAGGGCCAGCAGGCTCACAGGGTAGCGCGCGCTAGTTAGGCCCAGAAGCCTGCTATATAGAGGAGTTCAAAAGGGCAGCCGCGGCTGGGTTTATAAATCAGTGCGGCTGCCCTTCGCTCGACGAGGTGGGACTAAAAATAGCGCACCGCGGCGTGGCAGCGCACGGCCTTTAGTACCGGTTGGTGGCTCCAACCGGTACTAATGTGTTTCCCTTTAGTACCGGTTGGAGCAACCAACCGGTACTACATGCCCTAGTTCCCCGCCGCTTCGCCTGGCCAAAAGCGACCTTTAGTACCGGTTGGTGCCACCAACCGGTACTAAATTCCCCTCCTATATATATGTCACTTACGAAAATTCAGTTATCGTCGACTTCGTTCCACTTTTCTCTCGCGCGACATCTTGATCTCCGACGCCGACGCCGACGCGCCGCCGTGCCGTCGCCCTCATCGCACGTCGTCGCCGTCCCCGCCGCCCGTCGTCGCCGTCCCCGTCGTCGCCGCGCCCCCCGGCCGTCTCGTCGCCGTCTCCGCCGCCCGTTTCGTCGCCGTCCCCGGCCCCCGCCCTCGCCGCCCGTCGTCGCCGCCCCCGTCGCCCGTACGCGCCCGCTCCATACACACACATACACACACTACACACACACACACACACTACACACACACACATACATGCACACACGCATACACACATACACACACACACTACACACACATAGGCATACACATACACACACACATATTTTTTAGTAAATTTTTATTTTTAGTAAATGCTTATTTGAACTAATTGAATTAATATAACTAGTTTAGTTTTAGTAAATGTTTAGTTGAACTAGTTGAATTAATAGAATTAGTTTATTTTTAGTAAATGTTTCGTTGAACTAATTGAATTAATATAACTAGTTTATTTTTAGTAAATGTTTAGTTGAACTAGTTGAATTATAATAGAAATAGTTTATTTTTAGTAAATATTTAGTTAAACTAGTTGAATTATAATAGAACTAGTTTATTTTTAGTAAATGTTTAGTTGAACTAGTTGAATTAATAGAACTAGTTTATTTTTTAGTAAATGCTTAGTTGAACTAATTGAATTAATATAACTAGTTTATTTTTAGTAAATGTTTAGTTGAACTAGTTGAATTATAATAGAACTAGTTTATTTTTAGTAAATGTTTAGTTGAACTAGTTGAATTATAATATAACTAGTTTATTTTTAGTAAATGTTTAGTCGAACTAATTAAATTAATATAACTAGTTTATTTTTAGTAAATGTTTAGTTGAACTAGTTGAATTAATAGAACTAGTTTATTTTTATTAAATGCTTAGTTGAACTAATTGAATTAATATAACTAGGTTATTTTTAGTAAATGTTTAGTTGAACTAGTTGAATTAATAGAACTAGTTTATTTTTAGTAAATGCTTAGTTGAACTAATTGAATTAATATAACTAGTTTATTTTTAGTAAATGTTTAGTTGAACTAGTTGAATTATAATGGAACTAGTTTATTTTTAGTAAGTGTTTAATGTTTCGCCTAATATGAACATAGGAAATATCGTATGACGACGAAAAAAATTTCATTATGCGTGAATGCTGTGAAGACCAGAGCGGGCAGTGCGACAGAAATTTCCTTGTTGATGATAAGCGATTCAGCATCAAGCTGGATGAGACCTTCGAATTCGATACAGTAAGTCACAATGACAAGTCTGTTTTCGTAATTAAGCATGACTTATATATATATGTGCTTCATTTGACTGACTTATAATTTTTAATTTTCAATATTCGTTCTACTAGCGCATCCCCTGCCATGCAAGAATTTTTGTCTTGGATAAGATAGGTTTCAAGGATATGGAAACTATGAAGGTAAAGAGAGTTTACCTGAAAACTAAGCATGGTTATACTTTCAACGTCAAAGTATACAATGCAGACACGTACACCTATTTTGAATGCAAAACTTGGCAATCAGTATGCAAGGCTTATGCATTTGAGACCGGTATGGTTATTACCTTTGATATTCGTCCGGAAGGTGATATTGAAGGTAATAGAGACATATGGGTCGGTGTGCAGACGCCTCCAGTTCTACCATTATGTGAGTTCTTCTCAACTATATTTTTGTCTTTGATATTGCTTATTCAAAAATAATTGACAACTAATTTCTATTGACAGCTTATTTCCATTCAAGCAAACATGTCCGGCGCTTGGTGGACATGACCTACTATTGTCCCAGAGCTGAATTAAACTGCGAGGAGATAAGTCATTATATTTCATGGCTTGAGGATCTTCATACTGTCAAGACAAATTTTCTTCCTGCACTTAGAAATGTTAGTACTCAAAACGTGCGACCAATAGTGATGGTATTGAACTACGGTCACATCTATTTAGGAATGATGGTAAGATTTTTATTATTTGTCCTCAGTGCATCTTTTGCATACATAATTTTGCTAAACTTTCATTGCTAAGTATATTAATTAAGTACTATACGATGTTTTTCAACAGGGACTCCCGATGACAGTTGTGCCTCAGGGGATCGAGATTAAAGGTCGCATGTCAATTGTTAGCTTGCGGCCAAGATATCCTGCATTGCACATGAATGCATTCAGTATTTCTAAAAGTGATGAATGCTTAATAGTGAAAGATTAGAGGAAAATTGTTAACGATCGCAGAGAAGTATTATGGTGCAGCAATGAGAAGCGCAACCCACGATTAGGAGACAGGTTCATCTGCATGCTCCAGTATGATGAATCAGGAGAGCTATACATGTTGTATGCTATTTTACCAGAGAGAGAGTAGCTAGCAGGAGTGATTTAGCTAGTTCATGCTGCTCTTAGTACTTGTCCTTTCATTTCCGTGTTCTTCGTTCTGAACTTAATCTCAAATAG